ACATATTCTGGAGATATATTGTTTGGCGTATATTTTTCCAAGCATTTCAAGGTCGGTTTTATGTAATAGGAACATTGATAGAGAAAAAAAAAAGTAGGTTCCTTAAAGTGATGGATTTATTTCATAAACACTTACATTATTTGAGGTGCGTTTTGTTCCACGGGTGCCTTCACTTTTGGGTTTGCTAACCTTATATAGTGTTTTAAGTGACTTAAGAAGCTTGCAGGAGACTTCAGTAACGGAAAGCTCCTGTAAAAAAATCACAATCAAGTATATTACTTTTTGTTAATTAAATTGCAAAATATGTAATCTATCTATCTATCTATCTATCTATCTACATCATTTATAAAGTGCACAAAGAGGTTTTCTGAAATATACTGTACCCTCCACTCTTCACACTGGAAAAAGGTTGGTTTCAGCAAGGAAGAGGGCTATGATAAATAGGACCAAAAGATGAAAGTAGGCTGCTACTAAATAAAGTAGGTTTGGGAACTTTTTCATCTGTTTGATAGAGGCAGAGGATAAGGACAAAAGTTGAATTTCAGAAATGCTACAGTAAAAAATGCTACAAATGCTACAGTAAAAAGGAAATGACAAGAAAACTCTTGTCTTTTAAATTGTATGTAAGTTTAATTAAAAAAAGTGTATCATTGCATACTGCAATACTCTTGTTATTTTGGCACCTGTATTTATATATTTAATCTTCTATTTCCTTTCAAATCTATGCCATGCATACTATACTTTTAAAATCACAGCATTTTTTTTATTAATCGTTTAATAAAATCTGAGCTGTGTGACCATCCTGTATATTATATTATGGTAACTGATATGTTAATTTTTGAAATGTAGAATTGTTTTAGTCTATGACATATCTCTCACCCCAACCAGCTGCATACGAAAATCTTGCTTCACCATTAATATTGGTGTTTACTTCATGACATATTAAACATTTCGATCGTTTTAGATAATAAGTTGTTCATGTAAATTATCTTACCTGATGTTTCTTGAAGATCACTGGTACAAAGGTTTGAGCACATAATGAGTTCTGGAAGACATGTACATCGAGACATTTTAATATGGTAGACATTGCTATACTCAGTTTACAAAATTGGATTAACTAAGTTTCACACTCCACTAACTAAATGTCAACAAATGTTGAACTGAGATAGTGAGAAGTGGATTAAGTAATTAAAACTTTGTGCTTACCTGTAATTTAAATCAAATACATAGTAAATAACAGTGTCATATTAAATTATTGTTTTCTTCCAATCTACTGAACAGCTGGTGTTTGCATGGCTTGTTGTTAATGAGTCATTGTTTAATATAATCCCTGCCTGATTCATGTTTAAATGTGACAGTAAAGTAATAATTTCATCAACAAGAATGTGTCTCTTATCCACTTTCATCACTTTGTAAGGGGATGTGTTTATGGAGGTAAGGAGCTGTATATCAATTTATGGTTTTGTATGCTATTGTGACTCAAAAGACTAGCGATTATGATAACTACAATACGTAGCATATCATTGATGGATGCCATATACGTGTATCAAAAAACATTCCCAAGGAGAAGGATCACTTGAGCTTCAGGAGGGAAGCAGCTCACTTTTGTATTGGTTGGTCTTAAACTGATTGCAACAACATCAGCAACACAAGAGACTGAAGGAAGAAGAAATAACTAAGATAAAGGTCTATGGCCATGGCATTGTTGCAAAGAAATATTTGCTAAAAAATATAAAAAGTTATTTCATTCATTATTTCTTAATTATGTGTATTAAGTCAATGGACATAATACTAACTTTACAACAACTTGCAATTTATAAATAAGCATTTGTGTACATTTTGCATCTGAAAATATTGAATATGCACAAACAAAAGGAATGAATTTCAGATTTAGGCCAAAATAGCCAAATCAAAAACATTGATGCATTGGAGAAAATTTACAATTCAGCTAATATTAGCAATTGAGTTTGAATTCCCAAACATACACGTGTTAGCCAATTGTGTGCCTCTATAATATACTAATATATGTACATAATTGTAGTATATGCGTACAGTTTTGCTATATTGATTGTTTTTTACATTTCTGATCAAAAGAAACATTACAAATAAAAATGCAAAAATGCAAAGACTTCTTTCATCAATAATCTTTTAATTAATATGCTGTTCAAGCATTTTTGTTAAAAATGAAATCTGCAGAATCAATAGTTTCTTCTCAATGCATTTTAAAAAAATACCTACTTGTTTTGAAAATGTATAACTAATCACCACCAAACTTAAGTATAAATGTTTTTATTTTCCTGTATTTTGCAGAATCAATTTTAGTCCATAAAGCCTCACTCACTCTCATTTATACACTAGAAATGATTACAAGCCTGTAGAGGAACACATTTCCCTTCTAAAAGCCACTAGTCACTGTTATTATGCTTGCAAATAGTGTGTTAAAAATATTTACTAACCCCCCTGCTTAAAACAGTACAAGAAGTGTCAATGTGTCATATTATCCCCACAGTCAGGGGATGGGAGGGAAGGGAATGGATTTTAGCATTTCAGTGTTAGCATTACATTAGCATTCCAGAGAGTAATAAAAGATTTCTATAGCAGTTTTAAATACTTAAAAATAAATAAATATATGATTTCACTATATTTACTGTATGTCATCATTATGCTCAAATGCAGAGAGTAATTTTATATAATGTTACCATTTTCAGTTAACTGTGGTGCTACTAATGTTTTCAGGGCCATTGCAAATACCTATAAGCAAGTTATTTGGCTATTTTTATTTATCTATTTTTGGCAGATCTACTATGTATTTTTGCTTTTATGCCAACCAAAATAATATAATAAGATAAATCACACTGTATACTGTCCAATGCTTTTCATTTTCCAAATATTTTTCTGAAGCCTTTACATTTTTAAATGTTTTATAAATATTTGTATAAAACCTTTATATTTTTATGAAGGCAATTAATTCATTGAAAAATAAAAATTATATAAATTTACATAATAAATTTTTTTAGGTTTGTCTGCAAAGCAACATTTAAACAAAAGTGATGTTTTATCATGTTTATATACCAGCTATGCATATTAGAGATACTATACTATATAGCAACTAAAATGTATTTAAAACACCTTTATTTGTCTTACCTTAATTAATTTTTCCAAAATTGAATTAAGCGTTGTGATAATTTCTTCTAATGTTCTAACTGACACATTTTTGGTTGTCACAGGTTTTGCACCAGTAAGATGAAAAAGGCCAAATACAAAGCAGATTATCTTCAGTAAATTACTCATAGTTGTTTGGGAGTGTTGAAGATCAAACAATAAATCACGTCTCTTTGTCCAATAGTTATCTCATCCCAGCCCGAGTTATATAGTGAAAAGAACCCCAGAGGGGAAAATCACATCACATGACAAAAGCATAATTTTCTGATGACTCTTTAATGTTGCCCATCTGATAAGGCATCACACACAGAAATCTTAGTAAAAGTTAGTTAAAAAACAGTAACGGAAGGTAAGCTAAAGTTTTCAGAGAAATCTACAATTGATATAGTGAGCGGAAGCAAAATAACAATACCATGTGCGGAAATTGCATATTGGATTATTTTTGGGCTACCAGTGAAAGTATATTTGAAAATAAATGTATTAGCAATGTTAATATTTTTTTGCTAACAGAGCATCTAAAAATACATTACAATCTTAAACTTTCCAAATTATCTAGAAAGATTCTGACATTCTTAAAACTAAATTATCCCACTAGTCCAGGTAGAATTCACATTGAAGACTCTAGGCTGTTGTAATCATAGAATAACGTAAACCACTTTATCTCTAGAATTATATTCACTGTCTATGTCTGAATATCTATCTATCTATCTATCTATCTATCTATCTATCTATCTATCTATCTATCTATCTATCTATCTATCTATCTATCTATCTATCTTCAGTTAAATCCATAGGAATTTGGACAGTTCAACAAATGTCTTAGCTGTTAAGGATCACAGCAACTTTGACACACAGTCCTTTGACATTCAGGGACCCAAAAGTAACTGAATAAAGTAACATTATCATAAAATGATCATTCTTACTACTTGGTTGAAAAACCTTTGCAATGAATGACTGCCTGAAGTCTGGAACCAATAGACATCATCAAATTCTGGGTTTCTAATGGTGCTTTATCAGTCCTTTACCACAGCTGTTTTTAGTTCCTGCTTTATGCCTTCAACACGTGAAAGCCATGTTGAATTGTAATATGCTTCAGGTCCTTACATTCTCAATACCTGTCTCCTTTTTTTCTGGTCTTCCTATTCTTGAAGCTAACCAACATTTTGCACCCAAAATAAGATAGGTGGTGCCAATACAATAAAAGTATACATATAAAGTAATATTAAGTAATACCACTTAAAATAAAATAATTAAAATACTTGAATATAAAATAAATAAAAATACTGCACATGTGCACATGTGGTACTTTGACAATGAATAACCTACCTTAATGAGAGTGAATGTGATGGGTTTTGATGGGATATTTCTTCACTGTGAAGAAAATAGCATGCCATTAGAGACTTTTTATGTTTTATTGGTTTGGTAGCTGTAATTACCGAACACTGACCACCCCCCTGGCTCATTATTTTCAAAGGAAACTGTCAATTAAGCGCTCTCCCTGTGTGGCCGCCGTTTGTATAGCCAAATGCCACGTGCAAGAGAAAATGGCTGCCATCTTGTTTGCACGAAAGGAGGCAGCGGGACTTGGTCGTCGAGTGTCTGGAACTAAAATCAGACACTCAACTTCCCGAACACTGGTCAAAGTATACGAACGCCTGCTTCCATAGGCGTGCGCAGTCTATTGCATTAGGGTGTGCACCCTAAAGCACAAGCACGCGCCGCATAGATATATGTATGTATGTATATATATATATACATACACATATATACACACATACACACACTGCTGTGTGTGTGTGTGCTGTGTGAGGGTGCTGTTAGTGTGATATGTGTGTGACGGTGCTGGTAGTGTGCTATGTGGGTGAGGGTGTTTGTGTGTGCGTGCTTGTGAGGATGCTGTTAATGTACTGTGTGTGAGGGTGCTGTTTGTGTGTGTGTGTGTGCGCTTGTGAGGGTGCTGTTTGTGTGTGAGGGTACTGGTAGTGTGCTGTGTGTGTGTTTGTTAATGTCCTGTTTGTGTTTGTGAGGGTACTGTTAGTGTGCTGTGTGTGTGTGAGGGTGCTGTTTGTGTGCTGTGTGTGAGGGTGCTGTGTGTGTTTGTGAGGGTGCTGTATGTGTGTGTGGGTGCTGTATGTGTGTTGGTGCTGTGTATGTCTGTGGGTGCTGTTTATGTCTGTGGGTGCTGTATGTGTGTGGGTGCTGTATGTGTGTGGGTGCTGTATGTCTGTGGGTGCTGTGCATGTCGGTGGGTGCTGTGTATGTCTGTGGGTGCTGTGTATGTCTGTGGGTGCTGTATGTGTGTGGGTGCTGTATGTGTGTGGGTGCTGTGTGTGTGCTGTGTGTCTGTGGGTGCTGTATGTCTGTGGGTGCTGAATGTATGTGGGTGCTGTATGTGTGTGGGTGCTGTGTATGTCTGTGGGTGCTGAATGTATGTGGGTGCTGTGTATGTCTGTGGGTGCTGTATGTGTGTGGGTGCTGTGTATGTCTGTGGGTGCTGTATGTGTGTGGGTGCTGTATGTGTGTGGGTGCTGTGTATGTCTGTGGGTGCTGTATGTCTGTGGGTGCTGAATGTGTGTGGGTGCTGTGTATGTCTGTGGGTGCTGTGTACGTGTGTGGGTGCTGTATGTCTGTGGGTGTTGCATGTGTGCTGTATGTGAGGGTGTGTGTGCTGTGTGTGTGTGCTGTATGTGTGTGCTGTATGTGGGTGAGTGATTGTGGGGGTGGAGGTGGATTACTTGCTATCCCCCCTCCCTTCTTACCTTTTGTAGGGAGGGGGGATTGTGCTGTTGCTTTCCCTGGTGGTCCAGTGGAGAGTGAACTCTAGCCCCCTGTGGGGCTAGAGTTCACTCTCGCGAGATTTGAGCGTTGCCGTGGCAACGCTCATATCTCGCTAGAGGAACCCGGCAGAGCTGCCGCCAATAGCTCCGCCGGGTCCTCTCCTGCCTCCCTCCCTGCATGTGGGTCGGTGGGGAGGGAGGCTGAGAGCAGAGCCGGCGCTCGGATAGTGCCGGCTCTGCATGAGCCGACAGGGGAGATCCTGAGATCTCCCCTGCCGGTCTCAATATACATAGGCACGCCGCGGGGATTAGGGTGTGCCCAGGCACACCCGGCACACCCCGTGCGCACGCCTATGCCTGCTTCCTCTTCCAGAACAGCCAGGAGAGCGCTGTTTGGTAGTTTGGTTCCCACGAACCAGGGGAACAATCACTACTATGATCCAGGGGGTTCCATTCGTGCATTATTTTGTTTTTATGACTTTTTGAAATAGACCGACCGCACAGCCTAAACTCATGGAACTGTGCGGTCAATCCAAATGGGACTTCCATAAAATTCGAAAACCCCTGATTTTTGGATATGTTGGTCACCTAGATCAGGGCTATCAGCGGATATATCATTTATGGGGATTTTATGTGTTTTGTGGTACTTTTTAAGTTTTATGAAAAATGAGTTTTTTTTTCTGTCTGTAGATAATTAAATTATTACTTTATCTGACTCAAATATCTCACAGGCAGAGAGGAGGGAATTATCTGTTTGTAATGGGAGTGTCACACTTTGTCACTGTATTGTCATTCATTGTAAACTTGATGTCCCTGTTCCCCACAAGGTCCATGAGGAAGTGCCCATTGCATGGGGACCTGCATAAAAGCCAGTGTGGCACCCATTAAAATCATTCCTGTTGTACCCTTCATGAAGTCTAGGCTCATGTTTGGGTAACTGTCTACTTGCTGGGGAGAAACTACTTGGATGCTGCATTCATCTGGAAACATTCAAATCTACACCCGAACTGCAGCTATAATCACTCAGGCTCAGCAGTTCCCGAGGAAATAGGCGAACAGGGTATCTACTATACCAGCGTTCTTAACATTCACTTCAGAAAGAATTCTGTGATCAGTTGGTGCAGTTGTCTTTCAGGTTCATCCAGACATTTTGGTGTTGCTGATCAGTGCGATGATGTCCTGCTTTACTTGTAGTTTGGCCCTTACATCGAGAGTTCACAGCAACAACTTCTGAATGCAAATTTCATTTTGAATCAGCATTTGCTAATTTAACTGCCTCATAGTTGATAAAATAATGATGGAACAGCACACACCTGGCCACAAAGCCGCTTCTCATTCAACCAGCAAACTATTGTCTAGTGATAGTTTGTCTACGTGGCAAAAGAAAACCAAAAAACGAAGGGAACCATTTTCCACCTACTCTACCATTAAATTATCTTTAGAATAAGTACATTGTATAGCACGTATCCTAAAATACGGGTTATTGTATTTTGTAGGGACTCTGCACTCTGATGTGGAATTGCTAGATTCCAGAAACACCTGGTACTCAAGCCCAAAAGAAAAACCCAGCAATAATTGAGGCATATGTCATAGGCATGACAGTTCCCCACCTTTCTATGTTATGTTACCTCTTCACTACCTATGAACAGCGAGCTGCTGATACTCAATTAAAGCAAAACCAGGCATTCAATACAATTCGCCCATGCTACCAAAGTAATAGTGGGGTGTTCACCTGTGACGAGACCAATCTCGCCACATTGCTTTGGAGGAGCCTGGTTGCCTGCCTGTTGCCTCTGGGCTATGGCCCCATGGTAAACCAGGGTGTTCGGTAAATTCAATGTACCGAACAAACGCACGAATGACTGGACCACCTGGGAGCTGGAGTGTGCCATCAATTGACCTCCCAGAAGCTGCGGTTAACCGCAGCTTAATTTACGAATGCTGGGTGGCCTTTGTTCGCTTGCTGAACACGTGGCGGCGGTCATTTTAAAGTCCCGAACGGCCAGAGGTGTTCAGCACTCAAACTATGGAACTGGAAACGGACACTTATTTGCCTGAACACCGCTGAGCCGTCAGCCTACTTGCTTCTGCATTCGGTCATTTAACTGAATGCCTGTTCATTCGGTAGTTTAACCGTATGAACAGCATCACCCCAGATAGACATGCCATGGAGCCTATTCGTATAACGAAAGACTATGGGAAAGACTTTGTCTCCATGGCGATTGAACTGTATGTATGTGATCTGAGCGCCATTCGGTAATAATGTGCGCTCAGATCTAAGCTATCTGGGTATAGGTAGAATGTATATGTTTTATTCATTATTTGCAACATTGTGTATTTTTGTGTCTTTTTACTAACATGTGCTCAATGGAGTTTTGCCTCTGTCCTTGGAGATAATTGGATTAGTTCCCAATTATCTCCAGGATAGAGGGGAGGGATTGTAATATACTGTGGGAGTGTATGCCTGTGATTGGTCATTTTACCATTTGTGTCCCAGTCTTCCATCAGGTCCCCTAGGGGAGTGTCCACCAGGTGGAAGACCTGCATAAATACCGGGCAGGTAGCCCACATTAAAGCAGACCACTGCTTGACCCTCAACACGGAGCTCTGTCTCGTCTTTGGGGGGATTTACTGTATGCTGTTAGAGACTGATTGCCAGGAGTGTAAGCCGCTTGGGTGCTTTTCCTGGTCGTCTGTTAGCAGCTATTCGTGAGGTTCCAGTTCGGGAGTTTGGAGTGCTACCTTGTATCCAATTCGGGAGTTTGGAGCATTCCCTTGTATCCAGTTTGGGAGTTTGGTGTTCTGCAGTAGCTGTGCCTGTGTCTCTGGAAGGGAAGATCTACTAAACGACGGTTTAACCCGTTTTATGCCTGGGGGTGCCGTTACATCACCAAATTAGGGATTATTCTAGGTCGAGTGAATTAATAATCTAAATTTTATTAACGACAGGAGGCGAATATTTGCTTATCTTTCTTTACTGAACCTCCCAGCAGCAAAGAAACAGTTAACAATGATGTAAAAAGTTTAACCAATCAGAGTATATAACAATATTATATAAGGTCATCAGGCTCCTCTCAATTCCTCTTTCTTGCAGTATGCCAACTTGGCAGAAAGTTGGTGTAACGATAAAGTCTCGTTGGAAGGCCAGGATTCCAAAAAGGAAAAAACCTGGGTGACATCCCAAAAATTGGAATATCTTGGATGAGGAGGTCAGACCAAGTGAATATCCCGTAAAAGTCTACAAACAGAAGGGCTTTTCCCTATCGATGAATTGTCAATAGAGTTGCGAGCTTCAGAAATAGCGGATCGAAACACATTAATAGATCTATAGGATTTGCCTTGATTAAAAAGGGTAGATAAAAAATTTAGAATGGCTGTGAGAGGTGCTGAAAAGGGATCGATATCCCTTTCCAAACATCAGCTGACCCATGTCTGCCATGCAGAGAGGTAAGCGTGTCTAGTGCCTGGGGCCCAGGAGTCCTATAGGAGAGCCTGAGCTGTTTTCAAAAGTCCAGAGACATTCCAAGATCCCATGAAACGGTCCAAGCTACAAGCTAGAGCAGTTCTTGAAGAGCGAGCAGGTGGCAGTCCCCTGCTGGGTTCCTGAGGATGTCGGGGAAATGAGGCAATAGAATTTGGTAATTCACTGATAGTTCTAGAAGAGTTGGGAACCAAGACTGGGCCATCCACAAAGAGTGTCAGGTATAGCCTGACATACATTTCGCCGCAGGAACCCAGTTCCGGGTTCACGGAGCTTAGCCCCGCCCCTTTTCTCTGACGCGGTCCTTCCACGCTACTTAGGAAGACCGCGCCAGATTCAAAGTGCTGGATTATTGCACAGGTGCCTGCAACTTATCAGCTGCTCTACCTTGATCCTGCCTGTACCGGGTAGCGTTCTGGGGCGACTACTACCTTCTCCATTCTCAGACCTCGGCTTGCTTAAACGGACCTCTACCTTCCTCACTCTCAGACCTCGGCTTGCTAAACGGACTTCCACCTTCTCCACTCCCTGATCTCGGCTTGTTAAAACGGACCTCTACCTTCTCCACTCTCAGACCTCGGCTTGTTTAAACAGACTTCTACCTTCTCCACTTCCATTGGATGTAATTAACTCCTACAATTCCAGAACGGACTCTTAAGTTAAGTAATTGTCCCTACAAACAAGCTTCCTCTGTTACTTATAATAGACTGTATCTGAAGGATCATTACTGTGGCATATTCTCTCAAGTTGTTCTCTCTAATACATAAGGAACTGCTTTTAAGGTTAAATTCTTCCTCCAATAATCAAATCATTCCTAGAAGCAATTCTGTATTTCCTCATTAATAATCTTGCTTGTAATTATTCCATCCTAATTAAGCTAAAAACTAACTCTGCATAATTTTCTGCATTAATTCCTAAATTGAAACTAACTTGCTTATGCAGATCATCATTGGCTTATTCTTTACTCACAATTAACATCCTGCTTAAATATTTAAAGTTACAGTAACTCTCCCCACATCAGTATAACAGGAGGTGAAACTAATAGTTACTGCAATTAGAAAATTCTGCAGTTGAGTTCCAAATAAAATAAGTATTACAAAGAGGTTACAAGGACTATCGTGACTCCTAGAGCTTTGACTCGATAAGGGGTGCGTTGGATCATGGAAAAGGGCGGGAACGCATAAGCTCCTATCTCTGGCCAAGGGTGTAGAAGTGCAGCTGGCGCCCAGGATTGGTGATCTGGGAGCCAGCTGAAAAAGGCCTCTGTCTGGTGGTTCAACCGAGACGCGTAAAGATCTAGCGTGAGGGGTCCGCGAAGACAATTAATTTGATGAAACAATAGGGGATCTAATTGCCAGTCGCTGACTTCCCTCCAATGGCGGGAGAACCAATCTGCGACTAGATTGTTCGTGCCATGGAAAAATTTTCTGCTCGGAAGGATAGATTTCTCTCTAGACAGAATTAGTAGAGGTCCTTCATTAGGTCGGACAGCAATTTGGTTCGGGATCCTCCCAACCGATTCACATAATGCACTGCAGAGACATTGTCCATGCGTAGTACCAGGGAACAATTGAGGAAAATCAACAAATAAGTGCACAATATGAAGGAAACCAATGTTAATAAAGCTCAGATAACACCTTAAGTGGTATCCCCTAAACCACTACTATAGAATACAAAAAAACATACATACATGCAAGGACGGTGCAAGGATTTTTGCCGCCCTAGGCAAAAGTAAAGTTTGCCGCCCCCACCCCATGTGACATCACAATGCCCCACCCATATGACCTGCCATGTTAACTAACGCCAGTGCTGCAGTGCCGCCGTGTTTACATTAAAAGGCCTGCAGGGACAGGCTATAGACACCAGAACCACTACATTAAGCTGCAGTGGTTCTGGGGACTATAGTGTTTCTTTAATGTGAGGTAAATTAAAGATTAGTGCCATGAATAATATACTAGATTGCCTACTTACAACCAGATGAGGATGATGATGGGCTCTAGCTGCAGTCTGGCTCCACTGGTCTGGTGTAGAACAGGCTCTCTGGAGGTGGTTTGTAACTGTGGTCACAAAAATCAATGTTCTGGGAGAACGGGCAGCAGCTCAATTTTTTGGGGGCCCTTTACACAGCTCAAGGTCTGGTTCCCAGGGTCCACCTTCATGTTCCACGAGTGAGTTTGTTCACGGGGGGTGGCGTGTGTAGGGAATGTCCTGATAGTCAAGAGGGACGGGGAGTGATCAGGAGAGAACAGGTAGATTTTTCATCTGCATAGAAATGATATTGGAAGCCAAAGGAGCTAATGAGTTTACCAAGGGAGGCAGTATAGACTGAGAACAGTAGGGGACCAAGGACTGAACCTTGGGGGACACCAACAGAGAGGAGCTGGGGAGAAGAAGCAGAGCCAGAGAAAGAAACACTGAAAGAGCACTGGGAGAGGTAGGAGGAGCACAAGGAGAGAGCGATATCTTGTAGACCAATATTGCGGAGGATGAGAAGAAGCTGTTGATGATCAACAGTGTCAAAAGCCGCAGACAGGTCAAGGAGGGTAAATCAACTGGTCGTAGGAAGTGGACTGGTGTAGGTATTATGTTTTGAGCCACCGCATAGCTCGGTAGTGTAAGGGTCCTGAATATATAGCCTGGATAGAGGCAGACAGGAGGCCTATAGTATGTGCCATATCGCATAGGCAAATCTGTTGACCTGACAGCAATTTCCGAATGTCTCTAGATTTGATCTTTGTGGAAGGTAATTGTAAAGTCGCCTGTATCGAATCTATTAGAAATCCGAGGAACTGAACCATCTGAGAAGGTTCCAGATCTGATTTATGACAAAACCTAAGTTTTGTAACAATGCAGTTGTCATGTCCGTATGTTGATGGAGAAGAGTTGGATTCTGAGCCATGATCAGAATGTTGTCCAAATATACAATGGAATGAATCCCCTGCGATCAGATCAGTGCCATAACTGGTTTAATTAATTTTGTGAAACACCATGGTACTGAGCAAAGACCGAAAGGAAGGCATGTGAACTGCCAAGTTTCCCCTTGTCAGAGGACTTGAAGGAAAGGCAGATGGTTGCGTGCAACAGGGACTGTGAGGTATGCGTCCTTGAGATCGAATCTGGAAAATCAATCTCCCACGCAAAGGAGGCCCCTGAGAAGATGGATGCCCTACATCGTGAAATGGCGATATCTGACATGCCGATTCAGATCTTTCAGATTGATAATTGGGCGAAAATCTCCCATCTGTTTGTGGACCAGGAATATGTTGCTGAGAAAAGTATGTGGGAAAGGCGATCTTTCGATTGCTCCCTTTTCCACCAGTTTGTTCAACTCTGTTTGTAATGCTAGATTGTCTGTTATAGACATCCCTAACAGTGTATTTGGTGTGTCATGGAAGGGAATCGAAAGGAAATCTATTCTGAAACCCTGTGTGTAGAATCTATAGATCCTGTGAAAGCAATACCCACTGTTGGAAAAAACGGGTTAGTCGACCTGCTATAGGTACATTGAAAAAAGGAAGGTTTATTACCTGGAGCAGTTCGTCCGCGTAGGGAAACAGATCCACGTCCCCGGATGGATCCCCTGTTGGTGAACAACTGTCGGTGGTATGGTCGGGTGGTTCCCGAATTCCAATAATTTTCTGTGGCCTGTAGCCTGTGAAGGCAGCTCCCCTATAACGACCAGTTCTCCCAGAAAAACGGTATGATTAGCGGTAAGTTTAGCCCTTATTTCCTTTTCTGGAGGCTTGCGCAACCACTAAACCTGTGCTAAAATGAATAGAAATCAGTACTTACCAAAGCCGATGAGCAAAAAAGCATCAGTGGAATTCCGACCGTTGCACTGAGTCTACTTCCGAAAAGAGCAGGAACAAAAACGATTGGGTAAATGGCCGCCGTCAATCAAAGAGACGGGTAAGTAAACACGTCAGAAATGCAGACGCAAATGGCGGGAAGGCTGAAAGGGCGCGAAACAGCGAGCCGCGGGCTCATGGGAAATACAGTCCGTGGTAAAATTAAGGGACATTAATGAGGAAGGTGGGACGCGATCTCTTACTGAGGAGAGAGTCCGCGGCCAGTAATATAACAAAGATCGCAGGAAGAACCTCTGCGAAAACCCGCTGGTGGTGGGATTTAAAGAGATATATGTGTGCACTAATAATATTAAGAAATGTAGAAAAAATAATATTAAACAGAGAAAAAATAATAGAGTACAAAGAAGACTGTAATTTAACAGTATAAAAAAAATGAAAAACTGACAAATCTATTGGAAAGTAATATAGCAGGAGGTGTAAATAGATCTACTAAAAATAAATATCAAGTGTTAATAGATAAACTCTTAATATATGGCAACAAGCATTACTGAATAGCAATATAATTGGAATAGACTCACCTGGGAGGCAAGCAGCAAAGAAAGAGGAATTGGGAGGAGCTTGATGATATTGTATGATATTGTTATACACTCTGATTGGTTAAACTTTTTACATCATTGTTAACTGTTTCTTTGCTGCTGGGAGGTTCAGTAAAGAAAGATAAGCAAATATGAAGCCTTCTGTCTTGCAATAAAATTACTGTTCTCTAGTACCTCCTTCTAGCAGTCACCTTTGGAGCACAACCCACTTTCTCTCAGTAACCCGACAGAGCACTATACTACTGATCTTTATTTTAATAGTAGGTGGCTGGAGAAACAGGCATCTTAGTTGAAATTAAAAATAAAAACCACTAATGTCCTCTCGCCCCCTCTAGAAAAAGTAAAGATAAAGAACCACACATCCTGGGCTTTAGCCACCAAAGTGCACCTTCCCAAATATAAAACACATATTTTACACTGTATAAGGAGATTTCTCCATGGTCCTTTTGGGTTGATTTTACATTTTTGTTTTGGTTGAAATACTATCAGGTAGCTGTGGGTGGCACTCTTTGCACTGTTTTTGTACATTATTACTTTGTACAATAGTTTTTCTTCTGGACTCAATTTGTTAATAGTCTTAGAGAAGAAGCATTTCATTTGAACAGTGAGGACTTAATATGGCCTCCCTCATAAAGTAATAGTTTACTATTACTTTATGAGGGAGGCCATATTAAGTCCTCACTGTTCAAATGAAATGCAAGAGATACAATAGCAAGGTTAGTTAATTTATACATTTATTAATTACAAAATAACATGCAGAGGCTATATTGCATGCAATATTTTATTTTCAGTGATATGTAACAATGATGACAGATTTATTGTAAGAGAAAATTTTAATCCGTAGAATATATATATGTGTTTATTCACAAAACAGCAAGTTTCAAAGTCAAACTTATGTAAAATAGCTAACTATAACTAAATAGGAGACTTGTTCCAAAATAATCTGTTTTTGTCTAAATGTATCAAATTGCTTTCAATTCACATCTTATAACATATAGCAGTGAACTGAACAGTCAAATCACTGTCAGGGAAATTAGCAGAGTTAGCGTGGATTGTATTATTAGCTAAATTCGGCTGTGGTGTGCCGAAACCGAATGTACGGGTAGGCCTGTAAATAAAGAGGGCCCACCAAGGTAGTAGTGTATAGATGCAAATGAGTGGAGTGGTGGGTGGGGTGACCAAATAGTCGTCGGCCTGGTATGGAGGTAAGTCTGAGTTTATATAGGCCGGATCATCCCCTCCCACAACTCCAGGCTCCACCTTTCCATTTGTGGTCAGGGAAATTAGCCGAGTAAGCGTGGATTGTATTATTAGCTAAATTCGGTTGTGGTGTGCCGAAACCGAATGTACAGGTAGGCCTGTAAATAAAGAGGGCAAAAAGTATGGGCAAACCACTTTAATATGTAACAGAAAATTCCATATACGAGTCTAAGCGTACTTATCACTTAGTTAAATCGATAAATGCTTTCCTCATTTCTCGTTCTGGTTGAGGAATGTATCGGTTGAAAGCGGAGGTAAAAGGCTAGTGTATCAACCTGTACCTACGTTAGTCAATTTTTTGGGAATAGGCGATTAGGGCACATTGTTTTGGCATGGGCTCTGAAGCAGATGGCACAGACATGCAACAACCTGCAGGCACTGAAACTGTGCCTTCCACAGAAAGACTATGGGTCTACCCAGTTTGTCCCTTAAACCTCTTTGCTCAAACGTGCTGGTGCTTGGTGTATTGTAGTTAGTGGCGCTTGTGTATTATAGCTAGTGGTGGGTAAATTGGGTTCGATGGGGCACAAGTTGGTAGTGTGGGAATTAGACGAACAGATAGCACAACGCGGTGGCACTCGCCCGGCAAAGTGGCGGCAGAATAACTCGGTGTCCATGTGGCTCCAGTTTATTCTTATGTTAAACTGAGCAAATGTAGCTGCCGCTTTAGCCGAGAAGGACTTGTGATAGTCGTAGAATGTAGTGCCACCGTACTTGTTACCCAGGTCTAACAAACTTGTGCATGTAGAGGTCTAACTCCTCTCTGCATTGTGAGAAGTTAAAGTAGATAATGTCTCTGTAGAGACCGAAGGCTAACACGAAGTCCGGGATGGTCAGTTTTTTGTCTAACCTGTGGTCTTTAGCCTTGAGTACTACAGACACGTCACCGTAGTTGTACGTCTTGTTGTCAATTATGTTTTGGGACGCTATCAGGAGTAACATAAGATTTACATCTTTACCCTTTAATATATCCATTTTTATATTGGGTGGGACCATGTGTGCTGGGGTGAATATGTGTGTGTCTGACCCCTGTGCAGGTGGCGTGAAAGTGGCATTACTCTGTGTGGCTGCAATTTGTACGGTGGGTATGGTGGTTACAAGATCTGTGGGGTTCACGTCAGCTGGGGTTGAGGATTCCAGCTTCTCCATTCTGTGGTCTAAGTTATTGACAGACACCAGCATTGCTGACATTGTAGTTTGGATACCGGCTAGAGTGTCGCCAATGCTGGCTTGCGAGCTAGGCCCCGGTAGAGGATTGTCTGAGTCGGCCATTAGTAATTTATACAGCTCCGTTTTCCTGGTGGTAGCTGGGTACGAAATTCTTCTACGTCTTAGTTCAGAGACTATCTTACGGATTGTCCAAGACCTCATAGGGCTTGAAGACTCTAAATTCTCGCTTATGGCGGTGGTTGTGGTTGGAGTAGCTGGTCTGGCCGGAGTACTTGGTAACGAGAAATCCTCTCCTTGCAGGGGCCTTTGAAGGGACATGGATGTCCCGCACGCGCAGCCCAAGGACTGGCTGTGACGCTGATCGCAAGTACTTATGCCTGCCGTTGGTGAGGTGATTCCTACAGCAGATGGTGTTTGCAGCAGTTTTATTACACTACAGAGGAAGGTTTGCCTTTTCAGTCTACTGGAGCAGATTCACCTCCTTCACCCTCTTCACTTTCATCTTTTTTCATCACAACCAGGAAAACCCTCCTGCTCTTTCAGCTCTTCATACAAAGAGGACATCCATACTGGTGAGATCCACCTATATATAGAGATCATATATCTTTTTTGGGGGGGGGGGATTTTTCATTTTTATTTTTTTACTTTCACGTTTTTTTTGATCTCCCACAGTCAGCAGCACTTGGTACTGTGCCAGACATTTTATCTCTACGCCCCCAGTGGGATTATAACCAGCTGTACATATATCCATATAAAGAATTTATACCTTATGAAAGATAATAGTATTTATGGAGGGTTTGCCAGTATTTGTAAATAGCAACTGTACATACGATGAAATTAATCTATAGCAACTGTACATATGATGAAATTAATCTATGGAAAACAATTGTACTTACATAGAATCACTTATTGTCTGTATTTTTCTAAAATATTAGGTTAAGGAAATAATAAATCAATTGCTTCATTACTTTGTCATTGATATTTGTCATATATATGACTTGAGTGCAGTATTCATGTTTATATATTTCTAGATATCATGAGGTCCTACCGGGGTTAACCTCGAATACCTGCACCTAGCACGAGATTGAGTGCCAGCACATCTTGTATTTTTTGTAAATCCTCCCCTCGATCCGACAGGTGAGACATACTATAAATGACATATGATAATGTATAGTAGTAACGTAGTGATTATTCTTGAGTTGTAATTTTATAAAGGCCAGATGGCGAAGAACTTACGTTTGCTGATTGGCAAGAGGCTGAATAGAGGCTCTATCTATGATTTGGTCCTGACTGTGCCATGAATCGATGGCGGGTATATGCCTCTGCGTTGTGACATGGAAGACAGAGGGGAGAAGAAGAGTGGTACTAACTACACCCCAAGTGGGGTGTGTGTCCCCCTATCGAAAGACTGGGTCATGGGGCGTACCTCTGCATAAGGATGGTTATTAGTCTTGTTTGTGACAATCTAGGTTCTGAGCTTGGGTGACTTATTAGTTAATGGTGTTTGGGAAAAAGTAACCGGTGGCCATGCGTACCTGTAAGTTAACGGAGGGTCTCATTCCGTGACGTAGTAAGTGAGCGACTGAACACAGTTGTCTGTGAGACCTAAAATAAATGCAATTATATACACTGTATGTGACACTTGTTTTTCATACCTACCTTTATAAATAGTTTCCTGCTTGAGGGGTAACTAAGCGTTTTTTTGGTGTTTTTGACCTATCGAGTTTTGAAGGGATTTGAAGTGAGAGTTAGCTTATTTGACCTAATCAGGCGTAGGCATCTTATATATCTTATGACTCGTTTTTAGTAAGAGCGTTTAACCCCAGCGTGATGTTATAACTATATATGT